ATGCTGATACATGCGCCTAAACAGAGGAATTGCTTCGACCTGTGATTGAAGAATAAAAACCCCGCCCACTTCCGCTATTATGCTATGACCGGTAGGAACGTGTACTAATTAACTATGATATAGAGCGAACGATTTGAGTTACAATTATATAAATTCTAGCTATTATAGACACATCATGTCACATGTCTTAGCCTTAATCTCTCTGAATTTTGAGTCTATTGTCCATTGAAGCACGATTAGTGTAATTAATTACGCTCTAATTAATTAGTGTAATTAATTAATTACGTCTTATTAATTAATTTACGCGCGGTATGACCGGTATTAATTAATTTCACCGGCTATGACCGGTGAAAGGAAACGTGACGAATTGTATTTTTATCGTGCAATCTGCAATGACAGGTCGGAGCAATTCCTCTATGGTGATTGAGAATATATATGGTGTTGGGGGTGACCTCTTAGGGAGGGGGGAGAGAAGATAGACGGACTGACAGACAGAAAAACAGACTCGCCCTTTATGTAATTGCCTAAATTGTTTTTGGCCTAAAATGGTCGTCGCGTCAAGCTGATTCAAACACTGAGTGCTAAGCAGCTAGTAATAAGCAGCTAGGATTGCTGTTAACTTTATGTTTTTTTTATACCTATATGGTAGTCCCTCCTACGGTCTATATAGTCTATACGGTCTATATGGTGGTGTCACCTAATTGGTGTCTCTAATAATTGGTTTATTGTCGCTGTAATTCGACAACACAGCTACAAAAATGCCGGTAAAAATGCGAAACAACACGGCGAAAATTCGCGTATGCGTATAGCGCCACCGCGCGGACATTTATGAAAATAATAAAAATAATTTTAATTGGAATTTGAGATTTTTGTAGTTTTTATATTTTTTATATTTTTTTGGTCGTCGCGTCGCTGTCGCGGCATGCTGATTCAGAATATATATGGTGTTGGGGGTGACCTCTTACGGGGGGGGGGAGAAGATAGACAGACAGACAGACGGAAAAACAGACTCCCCCTTTATGTAAGAGATTTTTTTTTTTTATTGAGACGTTCCAAGTGCCTGTGAGCCAGGCCTACTCTCTTTCACCTACGGCTACACCGCTCGACACTCGCTGTATTTCATACGATTTCAAAACAAATACTCATCCAACAGCTTCGATCTTTGTTTCTATTTAAAGAACAGTGTTCTGTCATAACTTCTTATCAAAACATAACGTCTCTGTTTGTAACCGAGCTGTGTCACGCGAAATCACACAAAGACTGACGAAATTCTCGCGTTTGCTGAATGCATGTTACAAACACAGGCCCTTGAAGCGTTTCAACTGTAAACACACGCCGCCGCCATTGTGCGCACACAGACACATAAATATAATGTTCATGGCTAAAGGCGGTGCACTGCATTTTGGGATACAACGTACCCTTACCCTTAGGTTTAAGGAGCGTCAAGATGGATACGGGAAGTCGAAGCAGCAGTGACGAGTGCAGGGCTAGACGGCTACCGACCTTCACTCAGCCAACTGTCAGTGGCTACACTGAAGTCAGTTACGCTAGCGTGTTGAACTGTGCACCGCGCGGCAGTCTAGGTCAGCGAGCCAAGCGTTTTTTTTTAAATTACTTGAAAATGCTACGTAGATGGACTCGTTGCGCCATCTATGGGACGCGATAACTTCGAAAAGAATGTCAGGGAATTAACCAGCCCCAACCGAATTCGTTTTCAAAGAGGAAAGCACGCGCGCCGAGCAGCAAACAACAATAACGACCACTTGCCTAACCCCTCGACCTACGTGCCGAGTCAAAACGGTTCTGGAATCGCCAGAACTGCTGAATTAACCGATTATGGAGCTTTTATGCTTACCCGAAGGGAACGCCGAAACTGAGTTTTCAAAGAGTGCAGCAAATAAGATTCAGTCGCTGCTAGGTGGCGTTGTTCGCGCTTCGCGCGGATCCAGGCTGCCAATCGTCTAGATACACATAGACACATGTCTTAGCTATAATCTCTGTAGATTTTGAGATAATTGAAGCACGATTAGTCTAATTAATTACTTCGGATCATTGTACAGCGTATCCATGCATACAGCGCTGTACTTAAGCGGCAGCGGTGTGGATCTATTTGGAAACAACTTGGCGTCAAATACTGAGTTGGCGCAACTCTCTGTATATAGGGACCCTAGTATAAGATAATGCCTTTCTAACATATTGAATATGGACGTGGATATTCGTCCGAGCATCGGACACTAGTTCGGTGGCGCTATTCGTCCGAGCATTGTTGCGCATGCGCTGAACGCTGTACTATACGCTGTATTAGCACTAAAAGCAGAAGTAAAAAGCTGCAAAGATAGCTGAAGATTTCAGTGGTAGTTCTAGCAGTAGTAGTACTAGTAGTAGTATAGCAATTATTATTACTATTAGTAGTAGGCATACTAGTACTACTACTGGTAGTACTACTAGTCAATAGTATAGTGACAGTTAGTAATGGTAGAGACAAAGTTGGATCCATGCATTATTGCATGCAATCATATTCATACATCAACTGCTGGCCCGCATGGTCATATATAGTCCGAGTCTGACCAATGCCCACACCGACGATTTTGGTGGATTTGGTGTCAACACCAAATCCAACAAAATCGTCGGTGTGGGCATTGGTCAGAGGAAACTCGGGACTATATACTGAATGTATAATATATGATATGATAATATATAGCTCCAAGAAACGGTCTTGCTAGGGTTAGAAACCGTTTCAAACATTGGCTGCAGCTAAACACGTAGTTGTCTTATTAGTATTACCTCCGCCTAGTGTTGTCAATCGGTTGTAATTTCGTAATCGATCATCGGTTGGACCCAAGTAACCGATGATCGGTTACAATCGGTTACTCGAGGTGTTGAATGCTTTCGTGTGAGAAAGTCGTGTGCATGTACGTGTGTGCATGTATGTGCTTTTTTAGCCCTGTTTACTGTTTGGTTTCACTGTTTACTACTTTGTGTATAATACATGTATGTTAATAAAGGATAACTTGTATAGTAGCGATGATATCTCTGATTCTCATCACTTTGTTTTCTTGTTCAAGTTTTACATTGATTTCGATTTTTTTTATTTTTATGAAATTGATTATGGATTTTGATAACCAAGCGCTTGGTTCGAGCCACTGTTCAACCGATGATCGAGTATAATCGATGATCGTGACATCACTACCTCCGCCAAACGGAGTTGGAAGAGGTTATGTTTTCGCTCTCGTGTGTTCGTGTGTTCGTGTTTTCATGTACACGATAGTCGATCGATATTAGCGAGCGCTCTCGTGTGTTCGTGTTTTCGTGTACATGTTAGCGATCGATATTAGTGAGTTGATGTTAGCGAGCTTGATTCGAGCGTTGGCGGAGTTATGCACTCCATGAGTGCACTCTGTCTAGTTTGCCAAGTAATGCAGTATCGCCAGAGAACACTTCACATGTGATATACCAAATGAATCGGCATACATCCACCTTCTTGTAACCATCAGTGCGCTACAGTGCGCTGGGTACTTACGGGGACGAAATTTATGAATTCGCCACCATGTTGTATCATTCCGACTGTTACTAAAATCCGCAATGGATCGAACAAGGGAAATTAAATGATTTGCGGTCCTCATGTAAACCACCCCTGCATCTGAGAACATGTCATCTAAGGTTTTTACAAATGGCCCAGACATTTGTGAACATTGTTTTACTTGCTTTGGTGTGTAATTGCCGTGAGAGCCATCGTGCGGCTATTGTACTCCGATTGGCTAAAATCAGGTCCATTGCTGATTTTAGTTGCACTGAACATGGCAGACATTGCGGATTTCTGGTTGTTTTGATCCAATTAATCTCAGAAAAACGGCATAACTCAATAAATAAGTAGCGCCCAGTAGCGCCCAGTTACCGCGAGCAAGCCAGAGGTTTATAGATTCGTTTGAGCTATTACATGTGACGCTAGCTGTGTCGATGGTTGGATACCGAGCCAACTACAAGGAATTGTGTGCAAGAATTTGAAACGGTATTCTAACCCTAGCAATACCGTTTCTTGGAGCTATGTAGCAATGAGCTAAATATAGAGTCATACTCATAGGGTCTATTAGTATTAGTATTAGTTCGATATTCCTCTGACCAATGCCCACACCGACGATTTTGGTGGATTTGGTGTGGGTTAGGTCAGAGCAACTTGCCTATGCAAAACGTGGAATTTCTCTGATCCCGCCGAGGATCGCTGTTTCATCGCTCCAAACTCACAATTGTGGGAAACAACAGAGTAGCGTATTTGATAGCGTGGTAGTTTCCCAAAATGCAGTTGGATGCACGATGGATGGCCGGTGCATGTCGGAGGGAAATTGTTAGCAACAAATTTTCAAATCGAAATACGACTAAGGTAAAAGAGTACAAGTGTACTTACCAACGCGAGCAAGCATATAAGTTATCCAGTTTTCGATATATGTGCGTCAGATCTTGATTAATAGCCCTAATTGTGAGTTTGGAGCGATGAAACATCGATCCTCGGCGGGATCGGAGAAATTCCACGTTTTGCATAGGCAAGCTAGTTGCTCTGACCTAACCCACACCAAATCCACCAAAATCGTTGGTGTGGGCATTGGTCAGAGGAATCTCGGACTAAGGGTTTATGTGACTGTCCCCCAGGGTAAATATATTTAGCTGTAGCCAATCTGGCAATCATACGATACGTTCATTCACGTACGTTTGTATGCCTCATGAGGGTCGTAATCATATCCCGTCCGTTGTACGCTATTGTATTAAATCACATGAAGTCAGTGATATGGATAGAAAATGTATTGTAAACGGCTTCTCATTCGAGATGACTCAAAAATAAATTGGTTGTATGTGCATAAATTAAATGGGGTAATAAATAATAAACAGTAACATTATTATTGGTACTAATGTGGTTATCTCATGTGTTCATTTTTTGTCGCATGTTGTATGATTTGCCACTGTTTTTCTATTGTCATTGATAATGTGATATTCTATTTTCTATACAGTTTCAGTCATTTTCTGAGCAGCTATCTAAGGTCAGCATCGATGTTGTTCATCGTATAGGAAATCGTGAGGAACTACCAGAGGATTCAGACACATTTTTTTATGAAACCCTTGTGAAATGGGCTGATTTGAACTGCACGGAACATTTTGGTAACCTGCATTAGTTTTAACGCCATGCATTAGTTTATACTGCCTTATACCCCGTACAGACTGACAAATTTGTTATGGTATTAAACTGGCGCATGCCTGACACGTGCCTGGCTCGCGCCAAATCGTAGCGTACAGACTGCATATTTGATCCTACATTAAATGAGTAGTAATTATTAGTTCTCCGTTCAGCTCGCCACGTCACTCCGCAGAGAGCGATGTACAGCGAGCGTAAAATTACGTGACCTAAATAAGGCTACATGCACATGCTTGTTGTGATTTAGCACCGGGTCTGGCCTGCGTGTTGCATACAAACACAGCTTGGTGTACAAACACAGTTTAATTCTATATTAAATATGTAGTCTGTATGGGGTATTAGTTAAAGCACCATTCAAAATCATCATGCAGCTAGATGTCCAGAATTAAATTTTGCCATGCATGCATCCCCTCTAGAACAAATGTTCAATTGCCAACAGGAGAACTATAAATATAGAAGAAAATTGCAGAGTCATGGGTAATGTTTCTGTTTTTTATGTTCATTACTGATATATAATGCATTGAAATTCTTCATTCTTCTTAATGAATTGCTTTCTGGACTTTTCTCATGTCTTTGTTTTTTGACTTAATGTTATGCACTTATTTTATTTGGTTGTCATTTTCCATAAATTTATGTGTTTATTATAGTGACACTCTGGCATGAGTTGAAATCAAAGGTGCAGAGTTTTGCTCTGCTGGTTCATCACAAGGAAGAGGTTGTGGCTGCTCTCAAGCGCCACCTACTGGTTCCAGACACGATGGCACTTGATGCACTCACCGAGTAAGCTGACTTTTCCTTATCCCTGTACATATTACTGGTTTATTACTGCCATGAAATTTACATGTAATATTACCATAGCATAAAATGCAAAATATAATGTTTTAATTATAAAATATAAGTATAATTGGCCCAGTGCCATTAATAAATGTGCACCACTATGTATTATATATATATATATACCCGTATAGTTCAGTATCCCAGTAGGGCACCCGAAAATTTTTATAATTAGTTTAAATACCTAATTGGTGCTTACTAAATGAATAGGGATGCTAACTAAATTTTTTGGACCCGAAATAAAATGTTTGCAGTATATTTCACCTTATTTTTCATCATTTGCAGGTTGGTGGTCGCATTGGCAAGAGATATGCAAGCAGACTTCTATGTATATTTTCGAGATTTCTTTGACATCATTGTTTCCCTGCTGAGCACGGGATTACCAGACAGACTCGAACAGTGCTTCACCTGCCTTGCATACCTGTTCAAATTCTTGTGGCGATACCTATCTAATGACATTGAGGACATTTTTAGGTATTTTGACATCTTAAGACAGGTTACTATCTACATAGCAATGTATATGCGGTGGCAAAATTAGTATTTCTCATGTTTTTTGCATTTTATCAAACTAATTCCAATTATTTAATCAAAATATTTTGATTAAAAAATGACTTTTAAAATGCAAACATATTCTAAAAACAATTGCAGTATGGACCAATTCAACAGTTTTACTCACAAGCATGTAGTAATGATATAATTAGACATATAAATAACAGAAGTATGTGCAATTCATACTATATTTGTGCAGCATTGTGATACATCATTAAATATAGTAACTGGTAAGATTTTAACTGGCATTGCTAGGATATACTCGCCTCTGCTGAGTGGAAAACAGAAGCCCCACATTAGAAGATTTGCAGCTGAAAGCTTTGCATTTCTCATGCGCAAAGTAAAGAATCCTGGTCATCTCTTTGACACTGTCTTCAACATCTTAGCACTTCATCCAGAGGTAATTGCGTTAGTTTTTGAAAGGAATTAGAGTTAATTTTGCTAATTAATCTTTTTGCTAACCTGTGAACAGGTGTTTAATTGTCACCAATTATCTTGAGAAATCATACTACTTTTAAATTCGGAAACACCGCATTATAATGACCTTGCTTCACGAATGTTTCACTTAACGTACAAGCCTCAGGAACGTTAAACGCATTATGATGGCAAATCTATACTCACTCGCCTACATTTCATTATTCACAGTTGTAAAATTTCTTACATTTTCTCATTCGCAGTACGTGCCGGGCATTGGACATTTGCTTTTTGAAGTGATCAAGGGCATTAAGGATCAGTTTCACAGCTGTACTAGCGCGGTTTTGCCACTGCTGCTGGCTAAGCTTGGACCGTGCTCCACACACGCACCAACAACAAGTTCAGTTGGCACAGATGAGCCATCGTACAACATTATTCTTGATGCACAGCTAGAAATGATGGGACTGATCACAAACCATGCGACGAAAGAATTCATAGGTGTCATTTGGGAGGTGCTATTTGTAAGTTATGCATATATACCTGTTACTGGTATAAGTTACCCACATTTGCTCTTTATATATTCTCATTTAAAAGATAACTGTATTCGATATGTATATATATATATATATATCAGGATTAAATAATCTCAAAGCCATTTGACATGTATTTTTTCACGTTTTTACTGATTTTCCCACTTCAAATTTCAACATAAATGAAAACAAAAATTTTCCATGTCGTAATTCCGTTGATTATCACTCAACGATTAGGCTTCGGTTGTGGGCTTGCGCGAGAGCATACGAGTTCAGAAGCCGGTGCCACTGGATACTGGTGACGTACGCAGACAGCAGCTGTTAGAGCAGCACTTGGAGAGAGTGCTCACAATGATGCTTAGTATCGTGGAGTACAAGCGGGGCATACTGGTGGTTCCTACGGAGAGATTATGCAGCGTGAGTGAGAGCAGTTTGCTTGTGCAGAGTGGCTTTATTGGAATATACGTTTACTGAAATGCTGTAGTAGAAATAACATACTCTGAACATAGTGTCACGTAACTGTGAATGTTGCCAATAGAGTCAATTTTTGAATGTGTGGCGCCGTGAGAATTTTTTTGTTATTGTTCATCATTTTTATTAATTGTTATTTTTCATTATTATTGTTCTTTGGCGTCATTCACCAATATTGTTCGCTAACATTGTTATCCATTGTTGTTTACTGATATAGTTCATCGTTTTTTGGATTCGGTCTGCAGGAATTGTGCCTGCTGCTAGAGCCTGATGAGCCGGCCACATGTGGCAGCACCGTGCTGCACATTGCAAGCAGGCTGCTGCTGGCTGACAGGTGTGCACAGCTTACACCACAACAGGTGAGCAGGATCTGCAAGGCCGTCTACAGGTGTGCGCACACGCGGGAACAGGTCCTGGACTTCTCACGAGACATGTTCCCTTACAAGATGTTCGAGAAGGTGTGTATGTGCATATAGGGCACGACAAACTTGCTTGCCCGCTTGCCCGGGGCAACCAAAATTCGCCCGGGTGCAAGTAGCTTGAAATTGCACTTGCCCATTCGGGCAAGCAAGTTTTTTTTATTGAATGTATAGACATGATGATATATTTCTGTTTCCACTGTCCCTTGCATTGTTTTGCACAGACACAACACCGTGCTGCCTTGCTGCATGCAAGGAGATTTGAATGAAATAAAAACACAATGCGAATGAAACAATCGGTGGATACAGTGATGTACACAACATGCACACAGCAACATGTATACTTGGCCCCCAGGCCAGGCATGGTCGTTCACGTGATCAGCTACCTCAAATGTTTGCCCCTCTACTGCAATCTGTGAACGAGGATTTTCTTTGCTGAAGTACACAAAAACAGATACACTGTATACTGTGCTGTCAGTCTATGCATGCATGCACCGCTATATTCTCTGCGCTTACGATCTAGCCCCAAATAAACGTGAACATATTTTATTAATTTATTAATTTATTAATTTAGTGTGGTGGGTTTTTGATAATAAACTGACACTTAAAAATTTTTTAAATTTAAACAAACTGCGTGCTGTGTCTCAACATGAATATATTTTAGTATACAAACTCGTATCAGCTGTTCAACTTTCTACCGTGCCGTTAAGTGAAATGCTGGATGTTGACTAGTTGGACCTTCATTTACGTTATTTACCATTTAAATTCATATTAGGAAAAAATGTCTTTAAGTTTTTTGGGCAAGTGACTTTTGCCTGTGGGCAACCAGTTTCATAACTGGAAAAAAACAGTTTTTGTAGCACCCTGGTGCATGTTGTTCGAAAGCCATTTAGTATGCACAGATCACGTAGAATCCCCGCATTCATTCCACTTTTTCGTCACTACGGGGCGTGATACAAAAAGTTTTGAGAAGGTTTGAATGGCATATTCATTGAAATGTGGGAAAGTTTCTGTATAATTAACATACATTTTTAGGTAAAGTATACTTTCACAATATGCGCTTACAATTTTCACGAAGTGAAAATACCCTTAAAGAATTAGGTTTGATCTTTTTTTTAATTTGGTGTTTTTTTATGTTTGCTATTGCTTGAGAATTTTGGGTGGAATTCTATGAAAATCCTAATATGGGGTTTACAAGATGTTTTGAAATCATTGTATTTAGTAGTGATGTCTGGATTATTTCTCTTGAATTATTTCTAGGATGTTCTACCTCAACTGGTAGACTACTGCCAGATTCAGCTGCAGCAGGAATCTGGGGCCATTGGTAGTGTACTTCAGCTAATGGTTGAACTGGTATTATTCAAACGACCATTACTAGAAGATGCCTCCAAGCTTGCAGATTACAAGATATACCCATTACCGTTCCCCAACCAAAAAAGGTGCTATACTGACCTTCTCATTTCTTTACTGTTATTGTCTTTATATAGAATGTGAATGTGAATGCGTTATGTATTGTCGGTTTTGTTTATTCGGTGTAAAAATTGCTTACAACATACTACGTGTTTACACCTAATATAGAGATGTGAATGTATTGGAGGAAA